ACAAAAAATACTTGGGAAAGTCAACTCAGTTGTGTACCTAAGAATGGCAATGTAATTCCTATAAACGAGTCAATGAACGTAGTACATGGGTACTTTAAATAGTTAAATTTTTTTCAATTTTTCTATTGTTATTTTGGTTTATTTATGATGTATATATATTACATGTATATTATAATTGCGGCAAGTAAAACCAAGGAAATTGACATGCATGAATAAAAAACAAATCAAAATTAAAAAAATTGTTTTTAAAAGAATGGCGCCTGTACCCGAATTGTAATCGATTGGTTTAAGCTATGTAGCCTCTGTAGCAAGCGTAACCTAGCTCTTATTTAATGCAGTGTCATCGGAAAATATTCGTCCAGTTAAGGCTGATTAATATGTAGTATGAAAGTTCTTGGAAATTGTTGATATTTTGTGAATAAAATATTGATATACAAGATCTGTACATAAAAATAGGATCTCGCACCCCTAATTAGATAAAAATGTGTTTACCTGTTCAATTATAAACGTGTTACTTTTTTTTAAAACTCAAGACAACAAAACAATAGCGCTTTAAGATCAATGTAATCCGCAATATGCAACCTCATTTGTCGTATATGTATTCGAAAATATCCCAAAGGCTCTTGTCGAACAGTAATCTATACTATGATGCAATGCATAGTATATATCCTTCAGTAAAAAAACGTACTCAAAATACAGCTGCAAGAGTTATCAATCGTTGCAGGATGTCCGCTCATAACACACGTGTATTGTCATGCATTGGCCGATCTAACCTACTACACTTGATCTCATTTAAATGTGTACTTTGAACACACTTTCAGTAACGAGTTTTAAGAATTAGATTGAGTATATTAAAAAAAATTTACTGATTCAGAAGACCTTTTTATTATAATTGTTTGCATTTGATTAGAATTCAGACTATCTATCTATATGCGTCTTTGATTAATTGATTGATTGAATGAATGAATGAATGAATGAACGAACGAATGAATGAATGAATGAATGAATGAATGAATGAATGAATGAATGAATGAATGAATGAATGAAGCATTCACGTGTTTTGGATAGTTCGATACCCGAATGTTACAGTATTTGAACCATAACCCAGCTCAGAAAAAGAATACGACCACCCGCACTACTGAGAACACCCATCAGTGTAAATTTACATCGGTACTCAAATTCAAGTTACGATTTGACACAATCTGACCATTTCAGATCTTTGACTGTCATTCACCCTTTTGTTGAAAATATGATTTAGTTGGAGTCAACACTCGGGAAAGATGTTGCATTTTCAGGAAATCAGGTTTTAGAAGTGAGTGAGAGTCAACTGATTTGCACAATATGATGATCATTTCAGTCAAATCTTGTAATGTATATACAAAATGTGTATATCACACATTACATGTTTTTTCCATTCATGATTGTATTGTTAAAAAGGGGCAGTCTGTAACCGTACTACTGTCATCTTTATCGCATTTTTCACGCCATGTTGTCATTTCAAATCATCAAACCAAGTATTCAGACGGAATTTTGATTTATCTTGAATCATTCACTCGTAAAATGTAGTCTCATTATCTAAATATGAATTTATTATTATGACTGAAGTTGGAATGTAAGAAAAGACAGTTCACGCATAAATCAACTGAATCTAGTGGCGGGTATCGTACGAGTACCCATAATGCATTGCGTTCCTACGTAACGAGACAATTCCAGGGTAAAAAAAAAATCACATTATCAGAATAACAGCTTGACGTAGGCCATTTCGTATTCTGATGTGTTTATGTGTTGGGAACGTCTAGAAACTGTATAACAGAAACACACATGCATTTTGTGGTCGTCGCGCCACGCATGCGCGAGATATGACTCTCGTGTGAACACAGATAGCGAGTACAAACTGAGACGTTGCCAAGTTTAATTAGGTATTTTTTAGGTGATTGGAAGGTATCGAATGAGTCACTGGCTGTAATAAGTGCCCCGGTCAAAACTCGTACTGGTGATTTACATTACATTGGGTTTTGGGTAATGTTTATCAACACAAATGCGCGGCGCAACAACCACAGCCCTTTAAGATAACCAAACAAACCCTATCTTTGATGAGAAGACGTAGATTTATGGGTCATATTCTGAGTGTATCTTATTTCCACGCAGCCTTTCAAAATTGCAATTACAAACGAGATTACAAAGTCTTTATCACAGTCGTCAAAGAATTGAGCAAATGTCACCTCGACTCAAGATGCCGATATTCAGAAAGTGACTTGAAATGTATCTTACGTACGCAGGCACATTTCAAGCGCAAAGCAGGCGTCATTCGGATCACAAATTATACTTTCCTTATCGATGTCTTTGTCTTTGGCTAATATATTAATCTTTTCCTCATCCATCGGGATGATTTAGACAACCCCAAGAGACCATGTCACTGGGGTCGCAATGGCACTTCATTTGAAAACCTGACACACGTGAGACGCATATTTAGTGACAAACGAACTTTATTTTTAAAAGTTATTTCTTGATTTCCTTTAAAAGTGTACAACAGTTATTTTGTTTGATCCGGCTTGAACAAAACAGTAACGGTGGTTCGAATTAAAGAATGTGTACATACATATATATATATTTATTTTAAACCAGAAGGTCGAAGGTAAGGATATTAGTGGGAATGACGTATAAGATCATTTGCATAGATATAAAAATGTTTATAATTATTGGTCAATAATAATACTTATGGCCAGGCAACGGCATTGGTGCAGTTCAGCTGTTAGATTGTTGACGAGTAAACGATCGTCAATTCATGTTGGCAGGAAAGCAGAGCGTTACGGTTCAGCGGTAAATGGAAACGCAGATTGATAGAATTGTCACTGCACAGATAATAAATTTCCCGCCAAAAATAAACCTCACAAAATCTCCAATTTCTAAGATGATTGTTACTAAATACATATGTACTTCATTGCTAAATCCGATTATATTAAAGATTAGTTTTTATCATAATTTAATTTAATTTCAGCTTTTATTACTTATACTGCTTATAAGACCGAACATTGAGCACAGAGCATTCTAAGCTTCGCGCCAATTTATTTGCATGTCGTTAATGTCCGAAAACAATGACATAAACCATAATTAAAGAGCGTTTCAGTCCACAATATTAAGTAGTACCCTTTTTTTTATAAATAGACAATGACGTCACAGCACTCATATTCATTCTAGTTTGTGTTCAGCCAATACAAACGTTGACTCATTTGTTCACGGCGCTATTGCACCGAACTGCACCTTGGGTTATTGCACTGTGCTGTTGTTAAGACACCAATCCATGTTGTTTATTTTTTGTGAATCCAAAAATATGCTAAATGATTTGCAGTTCAAATAATCGGAACTATCAAAGAATCATATAATATATATGTACTGCACATCACAGCCATTTCTCATATTCCAAATATTACAAAATCAACACAATATTAGGCAAAAAAATGAGATCACGTGCCATTCGCACAGTTGCGATGTACAATACAGACAAATAATAGACTGTTCAAAACAGACTTTGGAAACAATTGAATACACGAATTTAATGATTCTATAATATATTCATGCTTTTGTTTGCTGATGAATGACATATTTGTCGTCAACAAACCATTCTCTGACGGTACACAGGAGCATCCAGACAGCTTGGTCACTCTCTTCTGACGTATACTTCCGAGGAATGCAGCTTTCCAACATATGCTCGCTGAGAGGTGTTACAACAGCCGAATATATTCAAGTCTTGCTCAAAAATATAACAACATTGTTCAAAATAGTGCGTTAATCTGAAAACATATTTTGGCGGGAAACGATATGGTATGGGCACATCGTGTGATTGTTTGTTATTTGACTTCACGACTGCAACTTTCATTAAGTACATCTTAAATATTTTGCTACTTGGCAGTGGCGTCATGATTTCAGTATCAAGTTTTGTTAACAAATCCAGACCGAATAATTCGTGAGGTAATGTTTTCAACAACATAAAAATAAAATAACTGTATAAAATTAGAGTAAAGTAAGCTGGGAATAAAAAACTGAATAATTATTACCATAATGAAGAATATAATAATTGAAACAAAAAGCTCAAAATCGAACAATAATTTCGTTGCAACTGTTAAAAAAGAACAGTAATAAATCGGGTGGGATAATATACATTGGCAGTTTCCATGGCAACGACATGGATTTAATGGCACTGATTCAAGCTACCTTATAACGGCAAGATCACTGCTTTTGAGTTTGTGTAAAAACTACATAAATTGAGAGTTCATTTTTAGCACTAAGGCATCTCTCGAGTTGCTCTTATCTTGACTATACCGTGGCCCCGTGGTCACGTGAACCGTGGTGTATTATGCCCGGATTACAACAGCAGAGTGATAAAATCCATCCCATAATATCCAATTAACTTGCAATGATTGTTCAGTGCAGCAAATTAAAATAAATCCAGGCATTTATTGCTGAGTCATATCTTCACCATGCGATCATGAACAAGTTCTATCTGCAATGAAAAGATACAAAGCTAATTAGAGACAATAAGTCCGCATATCTTTATTTTTGTGCCTACAATAAAGATAAAGTTAAAAATCAACCCTGTACGCATGCGCATACTTCTTCTCATTATTCAATTTTAAACACGGAACATGGCGTTATATGATGACATGTTTAAAGCTGTTTTCTCTTCATCGCGCCGTGATCATGGTTTACATAGAGAGAGTATTATTTTAAATCTCTCGGATTTGTCGTTTCGTCTACAATTTGTCTATGATTCCTCCGCCGCATTTGACACCCCTTTGAAAATTGTGTTTGAACTTCCGGTCACGCTATCCAATTCCTGTAAACGTGAATGCTATGTGACTGTATGTAAATGTGTCATACATGCATTTGACACTGAGTGTATCTACCTGTGTGACTGCCTATCTATGTGTCTATATGTTTGACACTCACTGAGAAGTCCTGTCGATCCATATCGCGACCAGGCATCACTGTAGTGACTCGACATGCTGGACATCGAAGAATACTGCGCATGCGTATACGGAACAGACGAGAATTGCGTTGAGTAGTCAGTTGCTGAAATAAATACAAAAAAAATAAAATACATGTCATTAAATAAAATCGATTTCCATCTAAGCGTAACATATCAAACTGAGAAACATTGTGTGCCATTATAATACTGTAATTTCCAGAAGACGTGCGTCATCATCAACCCTTTCCCGCCAAAATATTTCCCTCGACTCTATTTTGAGAAAAGTGACAGTCGAGTATTACAATTAAATAGTTTAAACGAACAATATCAATAAACTCTAGAGTACCCATCTACATATACAAATTCAGAAAATGCACTGTATTTGTTTGTCTATTAAAACGACTATTAATTAAGTAATTAATTATTCCCTGTGTTCAATTTCAATATTTTTAATAAATGGAATCTATTATGAAATTAATTAAATCCATATAAACATGTAAAAATACAATAGAAATTAATGCTCTACAGTCTATGGTTGATATTGTACGGAATCTGTATAGTATCTGTGTATTCATGTCTGTATGTATAACGCTCCAATTAATTGCATTAATACTCACGTTCCCTGGCTGAATATGAAGCTGATGCATGTGGTAGAACTAAAGGTGGCACAAGTCCAGACATCGTACTTGATGGGTAACTGCTCTGTGCTGCCGCTGCTGGCGGATACCCGTGAATGCCGCTCATATCACGTGATTGACCTAAAGGGATAAAGAGAGTGAGTATTTTTTTTCTGTCAGATATAATTTACCTTCTCTCCCCGATCCTCCCGGAAGAAATTAAATATAATGTCCAACTTGAATAGAAATTGAAAACGATTGATAGTAGTCAAGTGATATTGCCTTGTGTTATGGGTAGTTATGCAAATGAGTCACATCAATGCAGTAAATCGATTCTAACTTTATAACTATCTAAAAATATATGCGTTGTGTTTTTTTCTTGAAAAATAGTCATTCCGTAACTTTGGAAGAGATAATTGTAAAAACAATTACCTGAGTACTGTCCAACTTGAAATCCACTGGGTGGATTGGCGGGTGGTAACTGTGGCAACGATGGCCTATCTGTCATGTATCCTGACATGTTGTTATTGGACGCCACAGGTTGTAACACAGTTAATGTTGTAGGACCGGAAGTAGTAGCTTCCATCTTGAGATTTGATTGCGGGGATGGATTTCCACCAATACATGATCCTAAAAATAAAATACAAATTTACTTTAGGTTTATTTCTTGATTTCCAAAAATAAAATATTATATGTGTGTAAGTCTCTTTAATTGTATTCACCTGTTTGATATGGCGATGGGATTGGTTGTTGCGGCGGCGAGTGGACCATTCGATCAATGGATGGTTTCACGTCTTGTATCATAGAAACAGGAGCCAAAGGTGAGAGTGTCTGATATCCTTGGTTGGCAGATTGCTGTAAATAAATAAATAAATAAATAAATAAATAAATAAATAAATAAATAAATAAATAAATAAATAAATAAATAAATAAATAAATAAATTAATTAATTAATTAATTAATTAATTAATTAATCAATCAATCAATCAATGAATAAATGAATAAATGAATAAATAAATAAATAAATAAATAAAAATATTGTCAATCAAAATCGATGGCTCATTTGTACTGTTATGTTTATATGTGTTGTTTCGCAAAATTAAATACGTCAACAAAACATATGAACCTTACCTCGTTTTTCTGTATTACGTCATCTCTTCCATATGCATTTTTCACTATCATATCGTCATGGTAATTGCCGGTAGAAGCCGACTCAGGAAAGTGCGATCTATCAAAAGCTTTTTCTAGCGCCTCAATTTGTTCCGACGTGTATGTCGGTCTACTGCGTTTTCTCGAGTCGTTCTCCATCGCCGGTGAACTGATGACGCCATTTGCTTGGCTCTCGTGGTGATCTAGGTGATTAAAACGAGGATGAAAATTAAATGTAAGGTTATAAAAGAATAAAAGTGATCTGGACACGAATACTAAAAATGTCATGACAAACTAAACTGTATTTTCCATCATATTCCGATCTTTTAAATACATCTAAAAAAGATAAACACTCTACATTGTCTTAAGCCCGTAAATGGACCCCCAAATCCCAAATGTGCCTTCATTATTATCGTCGATTTACGACCCGTGTAACGGTAGCTACAATATGATTATTCGTCTGTCAGCGAGAAGTTGATACCATATTTATTTTCAATTCGTCGAAAGCGCTCACATTGTCTATATGCAAATAGCGCACCTGTGCTGTCACGTGCGTTTTTTCATCCAATGACATTGTACTCTGGATTCCTAGCATGTCTCGTGTTGGGATTAAAAAGAAACTCACACGGTGTACGCGAGAGAATTAACTGTCACGGTTTATTTGTTTATCGATGCCTTTCATTTCAGGTACGACATGCATTCTAAGGAGAAATGATAATATCTCCGGAAATGTGCCCTGTCGGGGTTTCATCGGTTCCGTGCACCCGACGCCCACATAACAGTCGACTGGAAAGAGGCATTTCCGGGGGATACAGTCTCCAGTGAACTGGTAGATGCTTTGGCACGTTACAACCGCCGGTGTTAGCTTTGGGATACATCAAAATGCTGGGCAGTCGAGAGGACATTATCTCAACTTTAAAAAAAAATAGAAAGTTTGAGAAGCTAATTTTCTTTGAATTCAACTAATTCTAAGAGTGGAAATATGAGTTTGAGTGATATTATTAATATCGGTGAGTGGATTGGTAAGACGGAGCCAATTTGGTGTGTAGGTCTTTGGAGATGCAGCGGACACCACCAATTGGACACGCATGGATTGCAACGTGAACTCACTTATTACCGTGGTTAATTTGGGCAGTCGGACGGTGATATATCAAGCAACTGAGCCCGGCAGATTGATTACTGTATCACATGATATAATTTATCTTTCTATCCTAAACTTTAATCAATACACTTGCTACCCTATATCACTATCAACAGTTCAACGTGTAATGGCCATCATCGTGGAGACACAGGGGACGAACGAAAGAACAACATGATGAGTTGCCGATTTTCGCAAACCTGACGGCTGCACACAATCCAACGATCCGCCATCATCTGCCGGGATGTCTCACATTTCCCCTATCAAAACTCGCGTGGGAATGAAACAAAAATTCGAATTCCGTGTGTTTGAAGTCCAGATTAACATTAGGTATATTTCAAGTTCGGTATTTGTATGATAATTTGAACTCAAAAGGCCGATCCGTTGATAAACTTATTAATAACAGCCCAGAACACGTATTTAGAATGGCCCTTAGTAATAAAGGACGGCAACGCATTATTAACTACGGCGTATGAAATGTATCCGTTAAATTCACACCGAAATTGACAAAATGTATGTAAACAAAGAAGGAAAGCTGATAGAGGGGTCAAAGGCTGAACTACGCACTCGTATATGCGATATCTTCACAGTATCAACTTTAATTGTTAACATGGTTCATACGCCACAGTTTACGTAGCAATGATATCGAGCCCGATCACAATAAAAACAAGTAAACCCAACGGATCGGTCCTCCTTATTAGTTTATAGCGGAATCGTGGAGTGCAAGGTATATTAGGTGAGGTAAAACGGCCCCATGAGATCCACTGTGAATACAAGGGCGAATGTATTTGGACTGACTTGTAAACTTAATGAGTGTTTTATTTCTATCTTGGGGACCTTGCGAAAACACTAATAGTTCAGCGAAGAGGATCGCTTCTTATGTACACGCCTGTGCTTCCTCATAGCCGTATCACGCAATTTGTTCCGTCCATTTTGATTAAGTCTCGGCGTCATGAAAACGTTTGTTGATTAAAGACGACGTTTTCACTGAACCTGTTCTCACAGTTTATCGTCAGGTACTAATCATTCAAAGTGGGCTAATAATTGATTGTTGTTATTTATCCTGATATATAAATGTTTGGATAGCGCGTGGAGTCAAGTAAACCCGTCTAGAGGACAAACATAATCTTTTCCCCATATGTGGCACGGCACGTACAGTGAACGCGCTGACGGATTTTACAAAATAATATTTTATAGCTAGAAGTCACTTCGTCATAAAGATGATAAGTATAATCGTAATTATGATGCAGTTAATAAAATAGTATTTAGCGACATAAGTATTGAAGCATGTGTGTGGCTAGCTTGGCGTTGAAAAGCGACAGATGTCTGGGTAATTGGGGATCGAGTTCCCTCGCTTTGCTATCACTTCCGGTATTGCTTTTACCCCTTTGCTTCGGCACATTTTCTCGGTAATAATTTCTATTTGTCCAAACTTTTCACAACTTCGTCTAAACAATATTGATTGTGTTCTATAAGCTCTTTGAATGCAATTATTTTTCCCGCCCAAATTTTAATGGAACATTATTTGTTAAATTAGTAAGTATTTTTCTTTAATTTCTTCTGGGCTAAATTGAAATGAATTTTCTTTGGATACATATCTCGATAAATATTTTGAAAGAAATGTGTAAAATATTATGTGAATTTATTTTGTGGAAGTGAATAGAAGTTGGCTTTGGCACTGAAATCCACTGAGACAAATTTATTAGTGCGACGCTATATAAAAGCATGACCATCTTAAGACCGGGGTGATTTCGCATCGCTTTGGTTTCAAGTTGAAGACCAAATTGTACTTGTTACAAACATGAATTCGACTTATTTAGGCATTGTGTCAGTCTGCTTGTTTGTGATGGGATAAGTCAACTGAAACAAAAAACGCGAAACGAATTTGCTTAAAAATTCAAGCCTACAAAGACCGGTTAAATTAAACAGGTCCAGTATTTTCCACTAGCGCGTTAAACACTGCTGTTTTCGTCATAAATTTGCTTATGCGACGGCGGGCGAACGTCCATCCCCAGGAGATCAGCTCGCATGTGTGGCCATAAAAAACATTTTAAATTGGTGTAGGAAAGCGGACGGGATGATCGAAACACGCCAGCTGTTCTGGTGTTTCCTTGCTGAAGTGCAGATCGTATTCAATCTAAAACTTCGGATGACGAAAAGAAAAAGCTACGTTGAACGTTGCCTTTACAGCATTTAGCGGGATCATAGTGCGATTCACGGCAGCGATAACTCGGTGTGTTCAGACGTAAAAGTGTACGTCATATTTCCATGGCAACAGTACACTAGCCAATTTTTAACACATATACATGTATGGACGTTAAAGAAACAAAGTGTGAGGACACATAAAGTAATTTGTATAGCACGTCACACTTCAGCAGAAATAAAAATAAGTTGAGAAATCAAGCATGGCCAGTAGCTGAGAGTATGTGCGATGGCTCTTAGCTGGCACGAGGAATAGTTTAAAGTTTGCTATTGAAATAATGAATGATGTCAGTTGAATCAACACATGATAGCATTAGTGGAGACTGGTGACATACCAAATCTTATTGCCATTCTAAACTATGTAATCGATACCCAGATGTATTATTACAAGCGATGCAAAACACTTAGTTTGTCTAAGGACAAAAAGACTGACTTCAGACCAGTAAATCGAAACGAACTGTGCCCCGGGCCAAAAGAAAAACGTTGTACGACCTTCATCAAGCTTTATCACCGCCAGTCTGTTTATTTAAGGTACCAGAACATGAAGAAAAAAAATCCCTTTGTCTTGAGTTTCGGAACAACTGTCCCGATTGTGAAAAAGGGACTGGGAAGTAGAGTTTATTTTATGTATTATATGCATGTGGGAGAAGCTTGCAAATCGTGAGAGGAAAAGTGAGCGAGAGAGCCGCTTAGCTTGGGAATAGATTGAAATGCAATGAGATGGTCTACAAGGATTGCAAACATGGACATGCACCGTTGACTTCGAAAGAGCTGGGCAAACTTGATTAAAGTCGTTTGGCAAGAGACTTAGTTGATAATATGGATAAGAGTCGGACTCCTTATCGGGGAAATCAGGGATTCTGGGTGCTTGCCACATCAATTTATGAATATGCTTAAATATATTGGGACAAGTTTAAATTAGTGAACTTTCAGAAGAAGACGTGCATAACAAAAAGGGATGTTTGCACAGTTGGGATTTTCGAGTAGGCGCTGTACGTGTTTGGTAAAAACAAATACTACGGTACGTTTCGTATCCAATAATATACGAGATGTACAACATCCAATAGTGTATATTACGAAAATTAATAGCGTTAATTGACCTTTGACCGCAAGGATAATCATGTTTGATCATTATATGTTCGCATTTTTGTGTTTCCGTACAGGCAAATGTTTACATTTATTTTAACATTTGTAAAACAATTGACTTTTTTTCTCTGTGTATTGAAAAGACGATTATTGAGCGAGCGGTTCCCTTCAAAAAAAATTTATCATCTACCGTGTGCTCACGTTTCTTACACCTTGTTCATTATCAATTCTGCCGTAACTAATGGTGATTATTATTTCATTTTTATTCTAACCTTGAAGTTCGGGAGATCAGCGACACGTTGATCGAATTAAGTAGTTTGTTCGATCTCGAACCGCAATGCGGTGTATGCCTCAGCCAATTCATCTCAACAACGCCAACCTCCCGTAAACAGACACACAGTATTTTAGCAACAAAGTGTTAATTCGCATTATCCCCAAAAAAGGGAGTAGCCCGACCTTGTTTTCAACTCGATTCACGTTTACGACTATATATCATAGCTCACGAGAGTCCATTTTTTTATGTCTTGTCAAAAAATGGTAATGAGTATAATGAAAAAGGGTTTGAAAAAGGTGAGCGAGGACACATATAATAAATTATTAGAGAAATCTTTATAACTAACTAGCACGGGCAATCATATTTCAATCTAGCCTCCAAGTTGTCCCGCGTGAAAACTAAGTGCTTTACAAATTACCGGGTAGAGAGTTTAAATTGCTTCACTGTGTCGTAATTAGTTTGCCGCTAAAAATAATCAACTGTATCGATGGACAGTCAAATACACAAATATATAGTGAGCGACAAAGCTGTATATTAAAGCGTTCACAGGGGTGACTGGGTAATCACGGTGAAATACAGAATAAGGGATGTGAATGCCGGTTTTCAATTGACGCAGTGTATTTCCGTAATGAACGAGAAACATGGGAGATATTGTCTTTATTAGACAGTATTAATTAACCTTACCAAACTATTTCCAGAACAAAAATTAAATTCTTCATTTTCAAACAAAAGAATATCTTCCGAGTTAGGGTCTGTCCCAGTTGGCATTATAAAATATTTTTGAAACAATTCAAATTAAAAAAAAAAAATTTGACTGAAATATTGTTGCAGAGAACTGGAATATTTATGATTAAACATTTTGGCGGGAAAATTGTTGTCTTAGAGCGCGCACAACGACAGAGTAATAACTCGTCCGTATCGTATTGGTACACGGATTATAAGTTGGAAACCGTGTATTTTACACAGTAACAAGGGATAAGAGAAATTTAATTGTCCAACAGATGGGGGTAACCGATGCATTTTATCTTCCAACAAAAATATATCATGCCAGAAAAAATAACTTTTTAGTATAGATGTTGAATAAATTGCAGAAAAAAATCCGAATGAAAAAAAAAAAGAGAGAAAATTCGACGTGGTTAGTGTTAACGTTAAAGAGTCATTGATCGCAGGGTATGGACAACTTTGTGTTATTTACACACATTAAGCACAGTGAGTAAACCTCAAACAGAGATGTGGTCAAATCCTTCTCCACCGATCTGCTTATCTGAGATCCCCGTTAACAAGCTATAAATATATTCCGGATTAGGCGATATTACAATTTATTGTACAAAATAAATTATCACTATATGCTTCGAATTAGACTTAGAAAAAGTTTAAACTGGCCAGGAAATTAAATAAGGATTTAACATTCAGTGGGTATTTCCGCACCAAGTGTCAGCTATGAAGAGACCGTACTCAGCGTAGTGCAAGTAATGTGGAGTGACACGAAATCTGAGGCCAGGAGACCATTGACTTGTGATGCACAAATACAGGGAATATCAATTCTATGATTAAATACTGTTACAATTGGGCTGGAATCGTCCCTGATACTCCACTCTGTATGGAGAGAAAGCTATGCGCAAAGAACCCGACAGAATTCCCTCTAGGCTCAAAATATATAGTTTAGACCCATGCCTCCTGAGATTGCCCTAATCGCATCATGCCCGAATGAAGCAAAAAATCACATGAAAACACACTCATGAAATATTTGAAAACTCGGCATACATGCATTTATGAATGAACGCATATTCGACTGTTTAGACCGCGGAACATCAACGATGGGCTATAACGCGTCTTCGTATAGAAACGTCGTTACACTGGATGAAAGCCTAGCCAAAGTGATAACGTCGTGGAAAACAATTCTCAGTTTTTCCCCCAATTATTAACTTTTTAGCGAAAATGACGTCACTTTATCTCATTCATCTTATTCACGTTAAATGGAGAACGACGTTTCAGACTTATCCTTCCGAGCCCAGTGGCGACAAGAATATTGCCAACTATATCACCGCCTGCGGCGACGCTGCCTTTATTTCGCAGTTGCAATATCATGTATAATAGTTACCAAATTGGGGAGAATAAATGGCTATATATTGCAACATGAGCAATTCAACTATCTTGTTTCAATTATAATAGCGACGAATGTTGCTAGTGTTTGCAAACTAATCCCGTACATGTACACAATAAGCAACGCTAAATCACTGGGATCATGCCGTTATAAGGTCCCTTACAATTAAGGCGATTGCCCCAAAGCTAGTAGTGATCTCTGTGGCTTATTATTTCCAGTCGAGATTGTCGATTCGACAAAAAATTTAAATCATCACATAATTTGCCCTCTTGCAATTTACCCCAGCGATTATTGAAAATGTTTCATCTTCTTTCATCGTGTATATTGCTACTCTGACGTCATACAACCTGATTTCGCCCATGATAAGGCATCGATTTGGGATTATATCGCTTCACCATCGCAATTATCTGGACATCTTTAATTTTCTCAAGAATTAGTAGCATGATCCACCCGTCGTTATGTCACGTGACGCCAATGTTTCGTCTGTTTTCAAAGTCATTGTGTATCGAGGGACCGTCTTTCATCATTATTTTAGAATTATTATTATCATGCCCATTTTAGAGTTGTCGGTTTCGAAAATTAGTTGTTATTAAGGTTCCATGTACATTATTGATATACACGTTTAGTTGTTTGGACTCCAAGAATACGAGCAAGCCTAAGATTAAGAATGTATGCTTTCAAAACTTTCCTAACGCCCCTGTTTCCACGACGTACTTCATTCCCATCACGTGGCGACCTTCAAGTTGAGCTTCATAAAAAATTCTATTTCCCACCAAAGTCACGTGAACACATAATTAAGTCCATGACTGTAACTTTTTTTTAGATTTAAATGCAAATTAAATGCGAAGTTCAATTATTAACTGGAAATTGTTACGCGATTTAAATAATGAAACTCATTCGGGATACATCTTTAAAATATGCAATTCCCCGTCAGTTACTTCACAGTTGAAAATACATGTATATTAAACAATCTTTGAAAAAAAGGAACATAGACTAAACTAATCAGCAAGTCAGTTGAGTCACAAGACATGTGTCACCAGTTTAGATTATTAGCGAAACCCGAAATCAACCTTATTTTCAACTGTCCACACACACACACACACACACACACACACAAAAAAAACAGTTTTCTTCCAAATGCCTCAAAACTTAATGATGGCATAATATACAGGAGGCCAATTCTCGGAACTAAATACGGAACCACGTTTCGAGTCAATCTAATTTGTAGAAAAAAGCGCATGCTTCATCAACAATAATATTTGCGCAATTCTACGAAAATATAATTCTCTTTTGGCGGACCACGTGGAGTTCAGCATTGCGCCTCGGGCAAAGACAATTAGACCACACTGAGTGGTTTGACTTAGCGTAGTCAGCTGATCCGCGGTGTGCTGGAGAGTCACTTCAAAATCTACTTTGCCATTATTATAGTATAACAAGCAAAATAATTAATATATATATTATTGCCTAACATTTGGTCATAAAATGAACTCTTCACTGGAGAAAATATATTTTTAATAAACATTATACGTCTATGTTATACATTTATTTTTGAACACTTTTTGTATATATGTTGCTAAACTAAAAGTCATCGACATATCTAAAACGCTATATTGCCACTGCGCTTTCGGACCGTATTTTGTAGAGGATGATGCCCGTTGTTTTCACCATGAGCTGAAGGGATTCCCATAGTGATACCAGACACTCGGATTTACGCTTATTCAAGCTAATTCCACCAAGACTTTAATTTAAAATAAAAATATGAATTCCCTCAAATTGTTTCTACTAAGGCCAGCGATAACACGAACACATAGCAAGTCAATCCTCAGGGACGCCAATAATGATATTTTCCTAATAAAATTTCAAGTCAAATTTACTACGAATAGACATTATTCAGGAGGATAGTGAGCTAGGGATTTGTGAACTGGCTGCCAAATTTGACGACTGGGAATTCAATAATAACAGTGAGACTCCTACTAAAGCACTAGAACGAGGTACAGACTGAACTGTGGACGTACGAGTAATGAAATGAACATTGAAACGTTGTTCGTCCTCGCAAAGTTCAATCATTCTCGTCCCATAAATTTATGGAAAGTGCTTTTATTCGCGATATATTTTCAGACAACAATTATTCAGTATGAAATTGTTTCAATTATTTTAGTTTGCAATTCGCTAAATTGGAATAACATATGTATAATGTGTCACGTGTTAATGACAGGCTACTACAATTATGGCGCGAAAAAAATATTTCTGTATTTGTTTGTTGTGATTATGGAATTGCTTTGATGAAAATATAGCGAGGTTCAAAAGCGTGACTAACTACTAAATATAAATATCAATCCACTCGTCTGGGTGTGTTCTTGCATGTCGTAGTGTGTGAGGCGGGACGACACATCTTTACATAAGATATCTATTAAAATGATTGCTAGCATACTGCTAGCTACTAGGGGAGTCGACGTACCTGACTGCGAGTCTCTTTTACGTTTCTCTGTACCGGCTTTTCCAGGAATTCCCAGTATACCGTTTATCGAATATGAACACCTATCGTTGTCAGTAGTAACAGTTATTGTGGTCGGTGGGGACGACGCAGTGGTGATTGGGGAACTGGCGCTCCCGTTTAATCGTTCTTGTTGTGTTGCTTTCTCCGCCATCTTGTTTCTGACGATTCTACAAAAAAATGAAAGACATGTTTTTAGTGTTTCACTCCTTAAAATATCTCACACACACCGGGAATGTGGGGAAATATAAGAACAGAAAATTCTGTTACTTGAACCTTCGACGTATTGAGAAAACTTCTGAGCACTGTGAGGGGGAATATACGAACAAAGGAATATGTTACCCGAACATTCAATGCAATGGGAAAACTTCTAAGCAGGACAATTGTGGTTTAGCATTGAGGTTTCGAAAAAATTAATTGTCAAAATTTTGTTGGCATGAAGTATGACATATTTTTTTTAATATCATCCATTTAAACCGAAACTTTTAAACGTCAAGAAGCCGAGCCATTTAAGTATGGTACACTTTCATCGTCAGCATTGCCGCGACATCCATTTCCACTTTAAATGCCATAAACGATCAAAACTAAAATTGCCGTTTTATTTCTTATTCACTGTTACTTCAACGAAAACCCGTGGCATCCGTGCGTATGTTAGTCAACAGTATATAGAGCCTCGGCTAATTTCATTTCTCTACCACGGTAAAATATCACCGGAAAGTCTAAATTGTATCATCAAAGGTTATTATCATGAATCGGGAAATTGTACTATTTACCACAACCCTGCTCATGTTCCTTAAAAGGGTCACTGGCGACTGAATTAATAATACCGCCATATCGGGAGCTAAAAGCAGCGAGTTTGCCTATTGACACCTTATATTGCTGTTGATAAGGCGGTGATAAAACAGATCTGTGACTGTGGCATCCATACCTATTGATGGAACTGACGCTCGGTACATTCTCGTTATCACACACTGCCTCAGCCAGTAGACGATCGCGGATCTCCCAAGCGAACATTGTCGGATTTTGGCGTTTGTAATCGGCAATTTTGTCAACTACTTTCGGTGTAGCCACTTTGGGCTTGCTACCTCCGATTACACCTGGTTTGATGGAGCCCGTCTCGTAATACCTATGTGTGAAGAAAATATGTTGTATATATTAATATCATACTGGTTTGTGCAATGATCCCTTTCACCAGTTCACATCAACTTTGTAATATGTTTTTTGTTATTTCTTCAACCATGTCCAGTAAAATAATAACATTATTTTTTTTAAATTAAAGACGAAAGAGGAAATTTCCATGAGGAATGATTTCTGCTTTCAGTGAAATTGTCAAACTCGTTCGGTTAAATATTTTAAGAATTTTAAATTACGCATATTATCAGAGGATTACTCTGTAATTAAAAAAGTATGATGACAATTAGATCTCAATGTTTCTGCCGCGGAAATATATATACAACATCACTGTCAGTTCGATACCAAGGGGGTAGCTGTTTAGTTTTATTATTACAGTAAAGGATCCCACTATTTATGTTTTGGAAGATAATTTATAAAAGTTGAAATGTATATTTTTTGAATGACGTCATGAGACACACGTACCCTTGATAAACTAATGTAGAATGGCGAACACAGTCTGTTATTCGCTGTGTCAGTGGTCATTATCGCGATATCACAGGGCTGTGCTGATAGCGTATCCATTACGCCGACTAAGTTAAAAAACACGACAATTGATTCAATCTCGCAAATTGCCAAATAAATTCATTTTGAAATCGACACCACTTTATAGAAGCTTTATTGCCGACATGACATTAACTATTTTGGACTCCGCCAAATCAGCGGCACTGTCTTCTTTCGTCTTTTTACCAGAAATTGTTTTACCGATATTTGAACTCGATATCCTGTGTACAATTGAGTACACACTAAATTACGGAAACATGAGAGAGAGAAAAAAAACACTTAAATTCAGCGTCCTTCCTGTGATTTTCAAAATGGAAATGAAGACCCTGTTAATGTAAGCAAAGCCAGTCCGTTCGTAGCCGAGATGGCTAAATTACAGCACATTTTCGTAAACGAAAGTCATAAAACACCCCCAAACAGACAAATGGCAAGCTAATGGAAAATTTCCCGTAAACTGCAGGCGAAGTAAAAAGCTCTAATGGTGATATGCCCACAGATGCACGCTTGATGAAATTGATCACTGTATGACCTTCCTAGCAAATGAACCACAGTTAGACACTAGACAGTCCACTTAGTGGGCTCGACATTTTTAGATTTTAAATAAAGATCATAATATTGGACACACCGATACTATAGCGATTTCTGCACGATTTCACTCGCGTATCCATTTTACAGCGTAATGCATTCGTTCCAATGCGAAAACTCTGTAACTGACGCCGGGACTATATAAATTGAATATTGAGAAATCTTTCTCGAAATTTGCAACTTTTAAAAATCATACTAAAATGAGCAAATCATTCGTAGCTCAATATAGCTCGGAGACAAATTAAGTCGATATTTTCACACAGCTTACAGCTGAAGAGAATAGATGCCCGTATAGTAAGAACATTTAATTCTTTGATTTCGCTCATACTAGCCTGAGATTAAACATACATATTAACAACTTTATAAGAACTTTTATAAACTTTAATAATTGTACTGTCCCTTCAACGACTCTGTGATGTGCGCAATCACGATAATCATTAAGGGTTAAAACAAATATATTTTTTGTCGCTTGGAGTAATTGTAAAAAGAAGTGAAAACAGGAAGTATAATGTTTATCCTTATGAACTGTGTTATTGAATTACACGGCAATAATGCGGGGCTGTGAGTACAGCTTACTGTTAAAGCTACCGTGGTTATCCCTACCTGCCGAGGATCTTACTCACACAGCCGTGCGACACGCGTAATTGACGTGATATATCACATGGTCGAACGCCACTATGCGCCAAATCTACGATTCTCTGTCGGACGACGTCTGGTAGGGGTCGCCCATTCACGAACACCCCTCCCAACTGGTTCACACCCCCGTGACCTGCAAGAAAGAAAAAAGAAAACAATGTCAGTCATCATCGCAACATCATATATATTTAATCGATAAACTAATTGCAATAAGTACCGTAACAAGTCATCACGGTCGTCGCGTTGTGATTTTTATTTCAGAACAACATCACACAAGTTTTAGTTTTATATCACGTCATCAACCGATCGGTCTTCAAAGTTGATCGTTTATTTTATAGCTTAATATTCGAATTTTGACGAATATGGGAACTCTGAACCCCGAGTCCATATAATTCATAATTATGGAGGATTTTTAAAACCCAGCTAGCGTAACGGAAGGAAATAATCAGCAAGATCAAGATGGAAGTGATCCTGCTATGATATATTACGCATCGGAGATTTGAAAACTGACATCTTTGAAAAAAATACCATGCAGATTACTGTGTTGATTTCAATTCGGATGCATATGTTTAATATTAGGAGCAGGGAACTGCGAAGCCGGGTGAATGTAAAGTAGGATACGTTACACTCGATAGCTTTTGTAGAATATTAGCGATGGGAAAGTGAGAAATGTTAACTAGAAGTTATTTTGGGATGACATAGATAAATGACGAGAAAAACCAAAGTTTTCAATAAAAAGGTGTTTGCAACCAGCTACTTTCAAGTTGTACGTTTCCAGATACGCGCGCACATAAGTAGACCAACTATAAGATAAATCCGATGCACTGTATGATTGTACTTTATTTAGAAATAATAAAGTATGGTATGGGTTTCCATGGTAACAACACCTAAAATACCACTAGAGCTTGCACAATAAATTACACTCACATTTATACCGATGTTGGTTTTTTTTTTTATACTTACGCGCATCTTGATAAAAGTGTTTTTCTTCACAGTTACAGGGTTCTCACTATGGAATCCAAATAGATATTTCTGTCTCACGTCATGACCTTTTTTTATACAAAGTTCACCTCTTCGCGGTACGAAGGTGTGTATGAAGGTAAAGTCTGTGTGCGCTGGGCACCTCTAAAGAACCATAACGTGTGAAGCAAGATACGCATCTTCAAACATGATAAGTTATTTCCAGCCGTTTTCCCCCATGCGGAATTACAAAAAAACGACTCCACCCAGCTCTACTTTCCGTTTTTCTTTTCAATATTGTTCTTTTCTTTTTTTTTGAATAAGAAACAACTCTAGAAACAAACAATGTACGATTTTTTGTGTGGAAAAGATGAAAAAAACTTCGAATCTGTGTGGTCTAACTATCACTTCTGCTTGGTTGAAATCATTGAATACTATCAAGCCTCGAGTCAACACCTTGGTTTTATCGTGAAATCACTCAAAATCACGCATCCAGAAAGATACGGCGGGGGATGGGTTTCCACGCTGATCACTCTCACTCTTACACACAATGGAGTTACCTATCGCCGTAAGCACTAAGTTAAACCAATCTTCGCTCCGTCTATGCCGAATTTTTGTTGATAAACAAACGTGTGTACCGTAGCTGATGTCGGCCCTTTTATATCACACCGATGTGCGACTGTGTTATTGTATTATTCGCGAATCAAAGTATACAGCATAAGAAACAGGAAACTGATACCAGCTCTTTTATAATGTCTGTCTTTTGTTTTACACTGGCTTTTGTTGTTCGAGCATTATTGATGATCACAGAGCCTCGGGCATGTGACCTACGGGGTCGTCTTACATTCTAAGCTATACTGCAATACACACGCATATTTCATAGTTTTGTCGAACAGAGCCAAATGTTCAACAATTTCTGCTGTTTTTCACGGATAACGGCGTTTTTCTTTATTTTTAAGCCACCGATTATAACATAATCCGAATTAGTTTGTTGACTGTGCCGTGTACGCTAAGCTGATTTCAAAACAACGGGCTCGGCTTACCGGCACGTCTGAAGTTCCTTAAAGTATGTCTTTGTTTTATTTTTATGGTGGCTATTTTGCTTTTTCAGTCGTTAAATAAAAATAACAAGAGACGCCAACTGGAGTGTTTAGAACGCAGCCGCACAGTCCCGGTTTTAGTCGTTGTCCCCTCATGCCCACTTTCATTCTCCCTCACGCTTTAGATGATTTACAACTAAGAAGAAATATTTACACCAATGAAAACTGTCATTTCTTTCTAAATAAATACAAACTGGACTCGATTGTTTAATTACAATATTCCCAGAGTACATTTTTACCCTATTTGTTCAAGGTATAAAAGCGAAGCGTTTAGATATCTAATAATGCCTCACCGTGACAAGGCTGAACGTGAAAGATCGTTTTTATTGCCCTCCCCGAAGACATGTCTTATACTATGTAATGAATTCCTGGATGGCAACTCTCTCTTTTGAACATTTTAAATCAATTTAGTTGGGGAAAGAGCATTATGAGAAATAAACAAACAAATAGCATAACAAAGAGGCGAGTGATAGGGTGAGTGTATTTATTAATGGTTGGGTGGTCGGCAGCGGTTGATGCGCTCTCTATCATTGCGACCGTTCCACCTCATCGGACCATTGCTTCCCCAAGAGAAAAAAATAGACAAATTTTGAAGACATATCTACAACTGCTCATCCAAACTAATTCACTCTTGTAAACATCGTTTAAAACTGTTCTAAAAACCAATAAATACTCACACTCGCATTTTGGTGAGGTGAAGCGAGCGAGGGCTTGCACCCGACCGCGCTCTTATTAACGCAATGTTGTCAAATGCTGGCTGAGTTATCGATTGTTCAGGTTCGCAAGGTTTTATAATCTGAAAGACGCTATCAACACGCATAGCGGTGAGATGTTTAAAATGGCGAGGTTACGTGGCTTTTAAGAATTGGCAGATTAAAATAAAAGTATTGCACACCAAATACGTTGATGAACATTGCATATTAGTGCATACAGCGCAATGCGCAGAGTGAGAGGTTGCCTCTCACCTACGAAGAAAATCAATGTAAACCCACCAATGCAGAATGAAACACATCATGGTTTATCGCTATATTACGAGTATGTGAAAGGAATGAACTGGAAAGATAGCATCACGCGTATAATGACAAAATATATATATATATATGTATGTATATACACTACCCCTGTATCTTGCCATCATGGTGTCAAAAAACCGTGGTAATCAGAACAAACCGATGAGGGTAATTCCTACGTGATGCACTGGTAGTAAGCACTAAGCCTGCTGAACTGTGACCAACAATATACCGTATGAGTACCTAACACCGAAACTCTCCGAAACACACCAAAAACTAGTATGATTGGCCACGGTTATTTAACAATGGTCCGCCGTTCTGATTGGATAAGCGAACTTTAGATATGCCTATTTCAATGGTAATCAAACTCTCTACCTCCATATTGCATGATTAACGCCTATCAATATTAATTTTGTATATGACAAGTATTTTTTTCCTTACATCGTCTATGTAGCTCCATCATAGCCCCTCCCCTAGGGGGTAGTAAACAACAGCTACGAGGCGGCGGTCCTGTCATATATTCTTCGGTCGCTGGATGCATGGTGGATGTGTCCGATCTACTCACAGTATACACGCACAGTACACACCCTTTTAGAGAAGGGTGCTGACGCCGACGACCCAGTGAGACCCTATCGGAAGGCAAAGCAGTCGAGGCTTGCTGATGGTTTGATGGCTGATTACACTAGTCTCTTTCTACTCTTAATTTTGTCGTAATTTCGTGGGTCAGTAACTGTCTTGCGCACAGCGAACGGGATGGTTGGTGCGCACCTGACCTGTTATGCATCTGACTAATTTCCAATGTGACGATACAGTGAATAATTTCCCGGTTAAATCCCCACTCTTTAAGTACTAATTAGTTCAGTTCTTTCCCCTGTACACTATATCCAATAATTTATATAGTTTAAGTAACTGTCAAACAGCATCCAATTGTATCCTTCCTGGTCACAATTTTAGCATTTTATCATCATCGTCGTGCATTTTTTCCGACTCCGAATCCATTTGATGCTAAATGAGTTTCCCATTAGGGTCCATTCGGTGTTAGAGTAGACGGAAATCGCTATCCATCGACAATCAAATAGTCAGCTACTTTAACTCAAATCTTTACGAGAATTTTGTCTCGAATTGAAAAAAAAATGATATAAATTAATAACGTGTATCAGGAACAAATGAATTCTAGATCGTTAGTTCATTTGAGAATTTAATACATTTGTTTTATTCTCCAAACAAGTAAGAGGGAAATCGAATTAACACACAGTACAGCGGGGCAATCGCTATGCACACAACGATCGACTCGGTGCGGCTCGGGACTTGGTCGGACATACTGTACGTTGTGGCGCCGCTGAGATCACGCAGTGAGTTCTTTAGTGTGGCGATAATTGCGAATATATTTTGATTTATCAGTTTTGGATGTTGTTCCAGAGTCAATTGTTAATAGATGAGAAGGAGAGTCCTACTGGTCGCTGACAGTACAAAGAGATAAGGAAAATCCCCGGATCAACTAGCAACAGACAATCGGAATCTGTTGCTAAGATGGATGAGACTCTAGGTACATCAATATCAACATCGTACTGATCAGCGATAAAGCCCTCTACTGGCTCCTAATAGCATGCATACTACGTTTTAAAGCCTTTAATGCATTATCTCGTCCCAACCAACAGTATACAATCAGAATTCATCTTTTACCCGGCATATTTCATTACATTTTACTTCCGTTTTCTAATTAGGCAGACTGATAACGAAAATATTGAAAGAACACTGCGGTTAAACAGCGTTCATCTTTCTCAGATATAAAGCGCCGGGAGAAGATAGGATATCGCTACGTTAAACGCAGTGAAGGCCAAATTGCCGTAGTTTTTGTTGAGTTTCTTCTCACCGAAACTATTGCTATCTACTTCCCATTGCTTAAGGGGCACTGATTTGTTTGTTTGTTGCTAGCGCGATTTTTTTTTTGTCAGTGTGGTTTCGACTTGAGTTGAAGAAAGCCTGAGGGGGAGGAGGTGGAAATTCGTCGACTGGAAATCATGATTGGGGCAAGAGTTTTGATAGGAGAACTGGTGATGTAG